TGTTTTCATGATGCACATTTTCTTTGCATAAAACTCTCTCTTATACGTGAGTTGCTGTGGATTTGTTTCTCCAAAGTACCTAGACTAATACAGTAACTTATATCAAAATAGCAACACTGAAGGTGGTAGCCAGTAAAAAGTATCATGAAAAGTCGCCAATATGTAAGCAATTGATTCAGATAAATACTTTGAGACTGTGTGGCAGCAGTTAAGATGTTTGCTAACTTTAAGAAAAAATTGCTCCAAAACTAGTGGCAAGGAGGGTGTGAGAGGCCTGGTAGGGATTCAGCAAGGGCAATGTAACCGAGAGAAATTACTGAAACCCAAATGAAGGCTGAGCATAATAATGGGACAAGAGGAAAGTAAAAAGAAATAAAGAGCTAGGAGACAAAGGGTATTTCAAGAGGTCTAAATATAGGCATGTACACATGTAAAAATATTTATGTAGGATGGTGGGGAAATAGATCTACGTGCATATACTTGTAGGTTTAGTATTAAGGCAGCAGATGGATAGTGTACCTCCACTCTAGTACTTACTCAACGCAAGAACATTTTGTTCTATTAAATTGGCATTCCATGGTGCACACCTTCCCGACACGATCGCTGAAGACAAATGTTTGCATAAGCAAATGTGGTGAAGAAAGCTGATGGTACCCAGCTATCAAAAGATATAGCATCTGGGGTCTTAAAGGCTTGCAGATAAATAAGTATCTATCTAGTTCAGAAGCAACGAAGTCCACATGGAAAAGCACACCAGCTTGTGTGACCACGAGGTGTAGAAGGGACCAAGTATCAGACCTCAAAGAACAAAAAAGCATGTCATTGTGTGCACACCTTCCCAATATGATCACTGGAGAAAAATGTGTGCATAAGCAAATGTGGTGAAGAAAGCTGATGGTGCTCGGCTATCAAAAGATATAGCATCTGGGGTCTTAAAGACTTGAAGATAAACAAGCGGCCATCTAGCTCAGAAGCAACAAAACCCACGTGGAAGAGGCACACCAGCCTGTGTGACCATGAGGTGTCAAAGGGATCAGGTATCAGGCATCAAAGAACAAAAAATCATACCATTGTCAATGAGAGGGAGTGCGGAGTGGAGACCCAAAGCCCATCTGTAGGCAACTGGACACCACCTTACTGAAGGGTTGCAGGGAGGAGACGAATCAGTCAGGGTGCGGGGTAGCAATGATGAAACATACAACTTTCCTCTAGTTCTTAAATGCTTCCTCCCCGCACTATAATGATCCCAATTCTACCTTATAAATCTTGGTAGACCAGAGGATGTACATTGGTACAGGTAGGAACTGGAAACACTGGGAATCCAAGTGAGATGACCCCTTCAGGACCAGTGGTAAGAGTGGTGATACCTGGAGGGTGGAGGGAAGGTGAGGTACAAAGGGGGAACCGATTACAAGGATCTACATATAACCTCCTCCCTGGGGGATGAACAACAGAAATTGGGTGAAGGGAGATGTCAGTGTAAGATATGACAAAACAGTAATAATTTATAAATTATCAAGGGTTCATAAGAGAGCAGGAGTGGGTAGGAGGGGGAAAATTGAGAAGCTGATACCAAGGGCTCAAGCAGAAAGCAAATGTTCTGAGAATGATGATAGCAACAAATGTACAAATGTGCTTGACACAATGGATGGATGTATGGATTGTCATAGGAATGGTACGAGCCCCCAGTAAAATGATTAAAAAACAAAACCAAGAATCCATTCATTCTGTACTGAGAGGAAAAGCACACAAACATAGTAGCCAGGAGGTTTAAATGTGGGAATGTACAACCGATTTTGGGAACTTCGTGATACAGTATTTGATCAAGGTGGCACTTCCCTTTAATGACAGGGAGTAATACAAAAGAAAGGGAATATTTTGTCTTTATTGTATTTTCAAATTGGCATGAGTTAACAATACATAAGCATTATAAAATAATGGAATAGCTAACGCTGAATGTAGCCCCAATATCCTCATGGTTGATAGTTCATGTAAAAGTGTTTCAAAGCTATGTATTTAAATTTTTACAAAACAACCTTATCACCTTTAAAGGATACTCCATTATCCTTGGTACATTTGTCAAATCTCCAATTCAATTCTTGGAAATATTTTTCAATGTCAAGTATTTGGATGACTGACAACACCTCCATCGGTTTTTTCTTCCCCTCTTCTATGTCATCAAGTCACTGTCCTTTCAGTCCCTCTTCATTTGAAGAAACAAAAAGAAGTCCCACGGAGCAATATCAGGTAAGTCAGGTCCATGGGAAAAGAGAGGCATGCTGTTTTTGCCGCAAACTGGCGCACTGAGATGGCTGCATGAGCAGGTGCATTGTCCTGGTGGCACAACCAACCCCCATCTGCCTCAAGTCAGGCTTTTTTGTGTTGCACACTTTTATGCTATTTTTTTCAGAACCTCTAAATAGCTTGGTTAACAGTCTCACCGAGGGGAAAAAAATTCCATATGCACTATGAGTTGAAATTTTTATCCATTCAGGAAGTTGATGGATGTCCAGAATAAGGTTTCTCAAAAATCGACATTTCACCTTTTTAGAAATGAATGTCCACTTGTCCACTTGAGTTTTTCCCATAGCACTATCCTTGTAAGCTATGTTCAACATCACGACAGTTTCTGTGGCATTTTTACCCGAGCAGGAAACAAAATTTTGCAGCCACACATTGTTCTCTTAAATCAGCCATCACAGAAAACAAGGTTCAAGCGAAACTGCTTTTATGACAAAACAGACCAGAAAGAACCTTCCCAGGCAATGCCTGGGTGCACTAACTCAGAGTGAGTTGCTGGGTGCTTGTCTAGTTGGGGGGGAAATCATATTACAAAACCTCTGCCCGGCTTTCCATTTTGGAGGGTGGGTTACCTGACCATATATCTCTACAGGTATTGTTATTAAGTGCCACTGAATCAGTTCCAAGTCAGAGCTACTCTAAGCACAACAGAATGAAAAGCCACCCAGTTCTGTACTAGCCTCACAACTATTGCGATGTTTGACCTTATTTTTGCAGCCACTGTGTCAATCCATCTTGGCCAGGTTCTTCTTCCTTTTTCACTGCTCCTTCACTTTATCAAGTGTGTTAGTCAGGGTTGACTAGAGAAACAAATTCATGAGCACTCATATGTGTGAAAGAAAGAGCTTTATGTAAAATAGTAATTGTACAGCCCAGTCCAGATCAAGTCGATAAGTCCAGTGTTAGCCCATATATCCAATACTGGTCCATAATTTCCTCTTTAGACTCTAATTTCCTCTTTAGATTTATGCAGCCATGCAATAATGCTGAATGTAGGAAGATCACAGGCCAGTGGGTGGAAAGTCTTGTGGACCCAGTGGCAGTAGAAGCATTTCAGCGCTGGCAGGGGTTTCCATGTGGCTCCTCCAGCTCCCATGTGTCTTATCAGAAACAGTGTCTAGCAGGGAGTGATACTGTGTCCCCCGGGAGTGAGACTGTGTCCCGTCTCCAGGGAGCAATTTATCTCCCACACCTCCAAAGGAGGTCATCAAGCTGCAACCTGATTGACAAGCTAAACTTGACCCCATTCACTCTAAGTTTCAAAC